CAAATATTAAAATATGCTGTGGGATACACTATCTAAATGTATTAGCTATTCACTAACTAAACTGTTAAAATCTTTGACAGCTGGAATATTAATTCTGTACAACCTGGTCAATTGTCTGCTCCTAGCCTCTGCCTCTGACCTTAATATTCAGAATATCCAGAATAACCCCAAAGACTTTTATATGCAAGAGAGATTCCCAGTAGTTAGAATACAAGAAGTTACCTGTTCTTTCTGTTTATCCTTGTTCATCTAGGATAAAGGTGCAGAAACCTCTGAAAGTCTCATGAGATTGAAAGTTGTTCGGAGTGATGGGTTCTTGTCCTTTTTTTGCTATTTGCCATGAAACCTTGCATAGGTTACTTTTAGTCATATCACTCATCTGTTCTCTAATGATGGACTAGACTAAATTATTCCTTCCTGCTATAATCTGAGGTTCTGATCAAATGGAAATAATATATTTGAAGATGTTTTATAATGTTCTTTGTGATACTCAGGATTATACTGTACTGCAGAAAAGTTAACATCCTGTGGCAGCACCAACAAATGTATTCATTGTAGCTGGTGGTCTTTTTGTAGCATTTCCCTCATAGTCATTCTGAAGACCTGAAATGAAGGTGAACTATAAATTACTCTAAATTCGTGAGGCAGGGTGAAAAGTTGGGTTGCTTTGTTTTACATATCAATCAATTCTTTTCTGTTCATACTGGTGCTTACTTTTTCATAACCAAAAGGCAGAAAAGTTCCCTCCCACAGTCTCCAATGTGTCTGTCTGACCTCACAGAAACGTCTTCACATATTACAGAGCAGGACCACCAGAGGCTTTGGCACACTTGCAGTCCCTCGCCCAACATGGAAGTCCTGCTGGAAACTGTGCTGCGGGGGCTGTGCCGGGTAGAGAGGGCAGTGGGAGGTAAGAGCTCTCACCCTTCACCACCTTCTCCACCCAGCATGGCCAGCACACTTTGGTCTACGGCATATCTCCAAGTAGAGAATGGGCTTTGAATGCTGTTGTTACCTTGGGGTTGGGGGATAATACTCTGATTTGGACTATTTGGTGGGGGGAACAACATGAATTTTATCATCAGAATAGGAATTGTTACAAGTAAATGTGTCTTTTATATTGCTTTAAGACTGAATAATTGTGTTTCTTTTATCCACTGTTCCTTTATTCACAGAAAACAAAAGCACACTTCTGTCTCTTCCATTTTTTAAATTTAAAAATTCAGTATTTTAAATTTTCTTTTTCATGTTAAGTAAAGTATATGTAAACATCCAATTTACCACTTAAATCATTTTTAAGTATATAAAAAATATACCTTCCATCTCCAGAATTTTTTTTCATTTTGATTTAAAACTCTACATGTTTCCCACCTCTCAACCCCTCTCTTTGAATTTTAGGTAATTCACATAAGTGGAATCATGTAATATTTGTCTTTTTGTGTCAATCGTATTGTATTTTGTTAAGATGGAGAAACTATCATTAGATATATGTGAAATGTAGCCTAATTTATATTTGGTTTATTGTCATTAGAGTCTATGGTAGGGAAGAATGTTATGGTGTCTGCCTCTAAGGATATGAACAGAAGATTATGCCTTCAACAGACAAATTTATTTATATTTTTGTGATTTTTTTTTTTTTTTTACTAATATTCCATTTTGGGACCTCTGCTTCTTAGTTTTCAGATGGTTTTGTTAAATATCAATGATTTGGAGGTGGCTTAACTAAAAGTTAACCAAGACTTTGTTGAGAGTAGTTTAGAAGAATGGGAAATTGATTTTATAGTATATGATAGGCTATTGGTGGCAATGTCTGTAGAAGGACCACTTGCTTTGGATTCAGGAGAGCAATTAGAGTTCAAGTTCTACTTGCCAGCAGTGTGGATCTTGATAAGGACACATTACCTCTCCAGGCCTGAACTTCATACCTGTAAATTGCTAATAATGGGCCCAGAATATTTTTTTAAGTTCCTTCTGACTTTAGCATTCTAAGAATTAAGGTTGCAGTGTAAGAAAATAGGGTTGAATCTGTGTCTATGAGTTTGTTACAGAAAATAATTTCAGATGGCTTGTAAAGAAAGGTATGTAAAATTCAGTACTGTACATGTAAACTTAAAATGAGGCAAAAGAAGAATAATGATAGACTATATGGCATAGATTTAGTTTGAACTTTCTTAATAGCCATTTTATGCAAAAGAAAAAAACTTTTCATGCACACAAAGGCTCCATGAGATAAAAATTAGCCATTTGTGTAGAAGTACAAATGCATTTTCTCCAGTTTTACACAGTACAAGGTTTGGGAACGATGTCTGGGCTTGATGACTTAAGCTGGGATAAGAGGTTAATTTGCTTTGTTTGGGGAAGCTTATTGAAAATATTGAAGAAGCCCTCTTACCTTTACTTGGAGGAGAGCCCATTCTGGGCCAGGAGTTTCAGACTTTTTGTTTTACTTGGTTTTAAAGTATAGGTGAAGGGGGGGTACCCAGGGCAGCAAAATTTTATTTTGTGTATACTCATTAAAGTAGTTTTAACTTGAAAACATTCTAAGAGGGGCTGGGAATGTGGCTCAAGTGGTAGTGTGCTTGCCTGGCATGCGTGCGGCCCGGGTTCGATCCTCAGCACCACATATAAACAAAGATGTTGTGTCCGCCGAAAACTAAAAAATAAATATTAAAATTCTCTCTCTCTCTCTCTCAAAAAAAAAGAAAAGAAAGAAAGAAAACATTCTAAGATAAATGTAACCAGATCCTGTCAACAGTTGTGGGACTCTTGCTTTAAGAACTGCTCTTTCTCCCCTATCCTCCACTTTTTGATAATAACTTATGTGAATTTGTTTATAAAGCAGTTAAAAGTTTGAATATCTGTCAGAAAAGAGAACTAAAATAATAATCCTGTTTTGTTCTGCAAGAGGTGTTTTAATTGTTCTTCCAGAAGACTTGTTCTACTGGCTCAGCTTCCATACTGGTATTGGAGAGAAGGTTCTATATGAACATTAATAACCAAGCAACCTGATTTAGACTTCTGTAATTTGACTCATAATCTATTTCTTCATAGATTCAAGGATGAAGGAAAAGCTAATAAGAAGCAGCTGGGGCTGGGTTTGAGCACAGTGATAGAGTACTTGCCTCGCAGGCATAAGGCACTGGGTTTGATCCTCAGCACCACATAAAAATAAATAAATGAAATTTGTTTCCAGCTACAACTAAGAAAATTTAAAAAAAAAAAAAAAAGGAAGAAGCAGCAGCTAACAGGCTGGCACAATTAAAATGAAAATCTGCTCTGTGCCAGAAATACCCATTCACACTTAGGCTGGGGAAGTGCGGCCATACTCTATAGAAGTGGAATAAATGGTATAAATTACGTTGTGGGCCTGAATAGAAAAGATCATAATTAAGGGTTCTTTAACCTGAGGCTTCAGAGATCCAGCGATTCTATGCATAGACTGTATTTAATATGTTAGTTTCTTTTGTAATTCTCAAGTGTTTTATGTATTTAAAAATACTCTCAAAAAAAAAATAAAAATACTCTGAGCTGGGTGCTATGGCTCATATATGTAGTCTCAGCTACTTAGGAGGCTGAGGCAGGACAATCATTTGAGCCAATGAGTGGGAGGCCAGCCTGGGCAACATAGTGAGACCTCATTTCAGATAAACAAACAAAATATATTCTGTTAAGAGGTCCATCGGTTTCATCATAACTGCCAGAGAGATCCATAATAACAAAACAGACTCAAAATCCTTGCTTAAGTTTTTTAATTGTCAGTAGATATAGCCAGATTAGTTTTTCCCGTAATTTTCCTCCTGAGTTGTTTTTAAAGGAAATCAGAAAGACTTAATTGGATTCAATTTTAACAGCTGCAGATTTATTCTTCATTGTATATCAAGCCTTATATGCCTCTCTGGTATTAATATTGATAGTAGCAGCCTAAGTGTGAATGGGTGTTTCTGGCATAGAGCAGATTTTCATTTAATTGACTTTTTCTTTTATATGTTAAATCTTGGTTGCCAAGAGCTTTTCTCACTAGGAGTTGTAAATGCTAAATCTATACTTGACTTCACCACCTCCTGTCAAGATAAATGCAAGCTTTGTTTCCTCACAAAGGAGTTCAAAGGAATAATTTACTCCTTGGTGGGTTTGGGGAAATATTGTTCTCAGCCAGTATCACATGAACCTAACAGCAAAGATTTCCAGTGCCTAAAGCAAGCTCAGCTGCCTTTTTGTTCTCCTGAAACATGCAGCAGTTGAAATGAGAAATTAAAAATTGCTCACTTCTAAATTCTATGATAGAGAAATGGCAGCAATAAAATTATCTTAAGTGGGAGTATGTTGATGTCCTCCAAGTTTAGTCATAAAGTATCTTATATAGCTCAACAGTCATTAATACAGATACAGGAAACAGTCTTTTTGGCAGCCTGAGGGTAGAGAGATAAGCTGTGCTTATTAAAGATAATCATTTTTGGATGTATGCCTTAGAAACTAAAAAACTCACGTTTCTTACCCAGCGATCTGTATCTTTGAGCTAAGGCACATAGAGATCTATTAGTAAAAAGGGGCTGGTAGGTTTATTCAAGTTTTGTATTAAATAGTTTTTTGGTGGACTGTAGGGAAGGCTTGCTGTTTTACTTGGGGTAGTTTGTTGAGATAGTTTATTTTAAAAGCCAGATGGTGAATTTCACAAATTTTGCAGATTTATATGGGCTTGCTTTTTGTGATTAACCATAGCAGCTTTTATGTGCCTTCCCTTCAGTTATGTTTGTGCTGCTCAGAGTAACCCTGTGAAATAGGTTGCGAAGTTAGCTTCTTTTTATAGATGAGAGATTTGAAGAGTTCATAGTATTCAATTCTTTAAGTAGAGTCAGTACTGAAACCTGGATGTTATGAGTCCTAGCCTTGCACTCTTTAAACTGCACCAGCTATCCCACTTTAAAAAGATGATGCAAGATACTTTTGTAACTCCGCATCATTCTCCATATCCATTGGAGAATGGATTCATTTTTCATGTTATAGTATTTTGACCCATAATTTTCTGCTTGAAATTACCCAGATTCCAAGCCTGTTTACAGAACATATACCTGAGGACTGGTGAAGATTAGAAGAGCCCGCAGTCCTTGAGGTTTTCTTTGATGATGATATCTGTAACTGCATCAAACACAAATTTGACATTCTGTGTATCTGTAGCACAGGTCATGTGACTGTAGATTTCTTTGACATCTTTTCGCATATTGAGGTCAAGGAACTGGTTCTTGATATAATTCCCCGCATCCTCAAAGGAGTTGTTCCCTGGTTTTCCAGAAAAAATAGTAAAGAAGTGGGCTGAATAAATCCTTGTCTATTGCTTGTTCACTTTTTAGGTGGCCAATTTGATCCTTAAAATGTTGTATTAGACAAATACAGTTGGGGGCCTGTTTTTGGAACAGGGGTTCAGCCTATTGTCATCCAGTGTTTCTCACTTGAGTAGACCAAGGAAATTGAGGAGGGAAGTATCTCTGTGTCTCTACCTTTGGTTTCTGGTAGGTATCCTTTGAACAGTCAGTGCTCTCATGCATCTAAAATTTGCTGTATTTCAGACACATCTTTATTTTAAACCTCTAACTAAATGCCTAAGCTTCCCCTGAGACAAGGTCCTTTATATCTCCTTAGCATAGGGAATGAGGCAGTTAGTTGCTAGTTACTACAAAAAGGTATCACTGTTGTCTGGAGCCCTTGACACTTACCTTCATATTCTGGAAAACAAATACTGAGATGGACTTTCTTGATTTTTTCCTCAAAAAGATCTTTCTTGTTGAGAAAGAGCACAATGGAAGTAGCCGCAAAGAACTTGTGGTTACATATGCTGTTGAACAGATGCAAAGACTCATGCATACGATTCTAGTAAAAGGAAACACCATTGAAGATATCAGATTGGGTTTATGGGTTGGTTGTTTGCTTTCATTTTTGTTGCCCTTAGATAACCAATACTCGAAATGTAAAAGGATAGATACGGGAACAATTTTTCTCTTTTTAATGTGGAGTAAAGCCAACATACCTGGGTTCCTTCTAACCTCATTTCTATCATTTTAATAGCTGTATAACTTGGGGAAATTATTGAGTTTCTCTTGAGTCTCAGTTCCCTTATACTGTTATCATGAAAGTTAAATGAGGGCATATATAATGGTATCTGTATAGTGGCTAGCATATAGGTATACAATAAATGTTATGCACCTCTTTGGCAGCCAGGACACCAGCAAGGACTTCAACATCCACAAATACTGCCAATAATAGGGTCCTAGATCTCAAGTTTGGACAGGAACATGACAGGTATACTTTGGTTCTAGTGCCACATGTTGAAGGCTAGAGAACTTCCCAATGCACACCACAAGCACTTCTGCTCTTTTTATTTCCTTCTGTGATTGCTACTCTGAAAGAGTGAGAAGTGGTGCTATATATGTGCAGTCTGCAGATTGCCCACACTAGCCAGCATGTAGGAGACAGGCCTTTAGGGACCTGAAGTAGGTTGATACCTGACTTGAGCTCAGTCATCTAATAAAGCAAGAAAGATCAAATTTGTAGCATTATCTCACTCTTACTACTCCTACAAAATTCTTTAAAAACCTCAGAAATCAAGGTTAAAGATAGAAGAGACGTTGGAAACTGAATAGTGTTGTAAAATATTTTGGCTGAAGATGTAGAGTGTTCTAATGTGAACTTGAGCTTCTAAGGGGAATGGAAAAGAGCTGAAGTTGAAGTGAGGAATAGGAGGATGGAATGTTTTCAATGAGTAGGTTGCTGGCTTCCATTTGTGAAGCAGATGTTTATGTGAAATTAGTGTTTTCAACACCTTTGACATCCTTTATCTGTCTTATACTCAGAGAATGTAACTGCCCAGGATCTGATACTTGTCCTGCAGTACTCTTACAGAACTTCACAGGTTGAAGGGAACCACCTCAGGTGGTTCCCCCTCAGGTGGTTCCCCAGCTTTCAGTTAAGTTGGCAAGTGAGAAACCCGGTCTACTAGTGTCACCTTACTTCTGTTGATACACAGTACATTTCTAGGCTTCTGAAGTGAGGTTAGTAGCTCAACATCTCTATCTGGGAGATTTATACCCCTTACCTTGTTTTTTAAAAAAATACTGAAATCTTCTGGTGAGCTTTGTGATAGTTAAGTAATACTTTGATGTCTAATCTGAGACAATCTCATTCTTAGTAAATCTAGAGCTCTAAAATACTAACCTAGAACCTGCAGAAGAGGTATTTTAGAATTGCTTACATGAGACATTCATTGGTCTGCGAGAGGTCAGCTAGATTGTTAGAGTTCCCTCAAGTCACTCAGTTTGGGGCATTGGGATGACACAAGCTTAGAGAAAGGGTTACGGCAAAAATTTGTCCTACTAAAGCTGTTTGGTTGAAAAGTCACTTACCACTTCATCATCTTCCACCAGTACCATGTCGTACGCACTGAGCGCTGCACAGAAGATGATGCAGGTGACGCCCTCAAAGCAATGGATCCACTTCTTTCTCTCAGATCTCTGCCCTCCCACATCAAACATCCTGTGGGAGAAAGCAGATGTTCATAGGTATGCCCAGAATATGACCCACATGCCTTTGGTGTTAATTTCCCAAAGTGGCTACTTGGAGTCAGTTAGCAGCAAAATGAGAAGTAGAAAGGAAAAGGGAAAGAAGTAGGACAGTAATTTAGATTGGGTTTCAGCAAAGGCCTAGAAGCATGCCCATGTTCCTTTTTAGGATTACACATGTGTATCTGAGATACCCCAGGGAATCTTGTACTCACCTGAAATTCAAGTCTTTGACAGAAAACTTGGTTTCAATAATGCCTGTAGTTTTCACTCTAGATCTCAAAACATCTTGCTCATTAGGAATGTAGTTGGGGTCTGTAATCCTGTCCAGTTGGTTCAGGTAGCTAGAGAAAAGTGGTTTGTATTGATAACATTACATTCTCCACAACCAAGGTGAAGAAACATAAAGCATCTTGCCCACAGTCACATAGTAATGATGATGGAAACAGAACTGGAATCCATATAATTAAATCTAGGATTCTTTCTTTCAAACCATTATGTGTCCTTCAAAAAAAAAAAAAAAGTAAGCAATGGGCTAAGGGACTGCCCATTTTAGGCAGGAGTTCCATCCAACTTAAGTCAAATCAGATTAAATTATCCTTGGATCTTTTTTGCGTGAGTGCAAGCTTTTCTAGACTGAATGAGATTGACTGGTTTAAATGGGGTGAACAAAGTTCCATCATGAGGCAAGAGTAGACTGAAAGAAACTAGAGACACAAGACATGAAGGCAATACATAGACTTCATCCTGAATCACATTGGGGGAAAATCATTTGAGCTAATAGGGGAAAATTGAACACTGATTTGGATATTAATTATATTAAGGTATTATTAAATATTGTGATATTGTGCTTTTCTTTTTAAAAAATCCTTATATTTTTAGAAATAGTTTATAGGATGAAATGATATCTGAGATTTGCCTTAAAATAATCTAGTGGCACACACCTATTATCCCAGCTACTCAGGAGGATGAGGGAGAAGGATTACAAATTTGAGGTCAACTTGGGCGATTTCAATAGACTCTGTCTCAAAAAAGGTTTGGGGATATAGCTTGGAGAACTTCTGGATTCAATCCCCAGTACTGCAAAAATAAGTAACTGAGTGTAGGGGTAAATGAAGAGTTGGCCATGAATTAACTATTGAAACTAGGTGATTCATTATTTTAGTCCACTTTTGTATATCTTTGAAAATTGGCATGAAAAGTAAGAGTTTTTTTAAAAGGAGAGGAAGCTTGGTGCAATGGAGCATGCCTGTATTCCCAGTGGCTCAGGAGGCTGAGACAGAAGGATCAAAAGTTCAAAGTCATCCCTAGCCACTCAGCAAGGCCCTAAGCAACTTAGCGAGACCCTGTCCCTAAATAAAATACAAAAAACAGGTTTGGGGATGTGGCTCAGTGGTTGAGTGCCTCTGAGTTCAATCCCCAGTACCAAAAACAAAAAAAGAAAAGATAGGAAGAAGGCAGATATGAAATGAAATGACTGAGATAAACAGGGAACGAAAATTAACACTAATGCCTAATGTATGCATGGTATTTTAACATTAAAATTCTCATTGAACCTCATACACCTTCAAGATGAATATTCCCATTTTATAATTAAAGGGAAAATTTAAAGAGTTAAATAACTTGCCTGAGATCAAAAGACTTTGTGGTATGCTCTAAGAAAGCTGAACTGAATGCAAATCTAGCCTCTGATAGTTACATATGTGACCTCGCTGAAATGGTTTTTCATTTATAAACTAGGACTAGTAAAAAGTATTATCTACCTGAAGGCTTATCGTGTAGATGTGTAAAGGATCTCAAGACAGTACACATGGTACAGCTAGCAGGGACTGTGCCTTGGAAAGGGAGCAATCTAGAGAGAGTAAATGATCCAAACAGGAATTTAATGCAGGTCTGTTTAATTGCAAAATTCATGCCCATCTATGACATCTGTTACAGACACACTTGATAACTCGGTCTCAGTCTGTGTCTTTTGGAAGCAGCTTTGCAAAGTTGCTAGTCTCTGATTCCTGATCACCTTCTTTTGGTTTGCCCTGGTGGTTTCTGAGTCCCCTGCCCTAATATTCTGACATAGATGCTATGGTGAAGGAAACTTTGATTCCTGCTTGATTATCTAGTAGAGCCTGAGTAAACCAACTTGAAAAATCAACCCTGAAAGAGCCTTCAATGCATTACATGTCTCCTGAGAGAGTGTGTGGCAGAACTACAGGGCTATCTTTTGATTCTGAAGGAAGAGGCTAAGTGTTCAACTTAAAAAGAACAGAGCTGAGGGCTACTAGGTAGAGCACCTCTGTTTTGAATTTTGTCTCTTCTGATTTGTAGCCAGTGTGTGGTAATGCAGAGTGGTGGGAACTGGCAGATACCTGTGTGGCATTAAATTTATTGTGTGGGTCTCCAGCTTTCTATGCCAGAAATTTAAGGCAATCCTGGAAGATTGCCTAAGCATCATCCTGCCTCCTCCCCAGTCAGAATCTTACTAGGATGCTGAGTCATTGAGCTGATATTCTGCAGCTCTTTCGAAGCAAGCTTGAACTCCACCATCCTTCCACAACTTTCTGATGACCTCCACCAGCTCAGGAGGCATGGTCCCCTCCTCAATGGAGTCGGCCAGGTTATTGAGCTGTCGCCCATCATCCTGTAACACAGAAACCTGGCTGAGAATGACATGAGCAATAGCTTTCCAGGAACACTGCTGAATGGAAAGCATTTTGCATTGCCACCAGTGGTTAAATGTGGCAGTCTCCAGTTAAAGCACACTTTAACTTTTAAGTGTGTTCCTCAGATGTAGAGTGGGCAATATATCCAGCCCTGGGATGCCTATAGGATAGCTGAGATCATAGGTGCTTCTTCTCTGTTATTCCCAGCTTCTATCCTTAGTCTGAAAGTGGACTGCCACAAAATGTGTGTCCTTTACTGTAGGGAGACTGGAAGTTTAAAGGCTACATTGACCATGAAATAAGATGGAAGACAGGCCTTTGCTTTTTCAATGGTTTAAATTTAGGAAAAGGCTCATACTAGAACTAGGGGTTTAGCTTCTAAAAGTTTCATGACTAGGGCAAGAAGAGCAATTTAAATGGTAAAATAAGACAAAAAGGGAGAAGAAGCCGGGTGCAGTGGTGCATACTTGTAAATCCCAGCAACTCGGAAGGCTGAGCCAGGAGGATTGAGAGTTCAAAGCCAGCCTCAGCAACAGAGTTACTAAGCAACTCAGTGAAACCCTGTCTCTAAATAAAATACAAGAAAGGGTTGGGGATGTGGCTCAGTGATTGAGTACCCCTGAGTTCAATCCCTGGTACCAAAAGAAAAAAAAAAGTAGGGGCGGGGAGAAGCAGAGAACAGTTTTGTAAATATAAAAGTGAGGTTTGCTTACTTCTCTGGACTAGGATTTAAAATTTGGCATATGGGATTTTAGTTAAGCAAGTTTTTTTCTTACCCAATTTCCCTCATTGTTGGTCTTTTGTGTGTGTGTGTGTTCTTTTTTTCTTTTTTTTTTTTTTTTTAGCCTTTCTTGCTTCCACCCTTAACCACATAAGATTAATCACGTACCGCGCAGCTTGGTTCAGCATAGTCAATGCCCAGTGTGGACATAGCCCGGATGATAGCCAGGATGGACTGTAACACATTCCCATAGATGACAGTCTTGAACTCCAGGCATTCTTCTGCTGTATACCCATCCTGGTGAATGATCCTTCAAGGGGCAGACACCCAGCTTTTAAATAACCAGACCTAAGGGATTGGGAATCTAGGGGGACTTAAAAGGTCATAAGAACCCCATCTCTCTAGTTCTGCTATCCCAAAGTGTAGAGTGGGAATCAGGTTTTTATACTCAGTTTCCATGAGGCTGAAGAGCCTTTCACTCTGAGTACCTCCACTGGTTCCTCTGAGTACTTCCCCCAACCACAGTCCTTTGGGGTTTTGTTCCTACTCACTTCATCTGCTTGACGATAGTGCTCTTTCCTGACTCCCCAGCACCTGGAAGGAGAAATGCTTATGCTTCCAGTTTCCACCAGTTCTCCCCAACATTCCAGTAGATGGTCTGTGAGGAGTCAGAGCCATTGCTTGCTTGGGAGCCTTGTAAGGGGAGAACTTGTTAGAGGAATGATTGCTGCCCTCAATTTCTGTCTCCTTGAGCTCAGGCCATTTGCCCTGGGTTGAGAGCAGAATTTCTCAACTTCAGCACTTATTTACATTTTGGGCTAGATTTTCTTTTTAGTGGGTACTGCTCTGTGCATTGCAGGATATTTAGCAGCACTCCTAGCCTCTACTCACTACAGATCAGCAGCATCCCACTCTTTAGTTGTGACAACCAAAAATGGCTCCAGATACTCCCCAAATGTCTCCTGAGGGTCAAAAACCTCCCATTGAAAACCACTAATTGATTCAGGAGAATTCCTTGGACACATTTTTTCACTGTTTTTGACTCAGTGAGTAGGACTGGAGAAAGCTGGGCCTCTTTACTGGAATATTCTCTATGGTTCCCTTTATTGACTAAAATATCCTAATGCTCTCTTCTCTTTCCACTTCAAAAATTCACCTTCTGGGCAAACAGAAAGAATCAAATGATTATTGTCAGAGGGGAAAAAGTAGCATTCTGTTCTAAAAACATTCAATAAAATAATATCCACATTTTTATTTTCTCAAACATCTAGGCAATTGCTCAGATCCTAAATACAGACGAGTATGGCATTTCACAATGTACCTTTCATTCTACATAGATTTGTAGCAAAATAAACACCATACATGTAGTTAAAAAAAAAAAAATTCACCTTCTGGGCTGGGATTGTGGCTCAGCGGTAGAGTGCTCACCTAGCACGTGTGGGGCCCAGGGTTAGATCCTCAGCACCACAAAAAAATAAATGAAATAAAGGTATTGTGCTCAACTACAAATAAAAAATAAATATTAAAAAAAATCACATTCTGGGCTGGGGATATAGCTTAGTTGGTAGAGTTCTTGCCTTGCATGCATAAGGCCCTGGGTTCAATAACCAGCACCACAAACAAAAAATTCACATTCCCTTTGACCCTCCTTTACTCCATGCTACCCTGATCCCTCAACCTCCTACCACTTAGCCTGTGCTGGTTCCCTCTAAGCTGCTTATTCTGAACCTAGAATTTGCTTTAAGCTTAAAAGGTCTTTCAGTGGCCCCACCACCTCCATTTCCCCTTGTGTAACTTCTGAGCTTCTCGGAACCTGGGTTGAGCTTATAGAGATGCTCCTCTAGTGTGTCCTTAGGCTGTGCCACAGTAGCTGAGAAAAGGACTTGCTTTAGCTTGCTGCTTCAATTCCCAGGCTCCTTATGAGCTTGGAAACACAGCCCAGGTATCCAGGCCCCACTTGCTCTAGCTAGCCTACTCCTGTGGTACTACTGGTGCTTTTTTGTTTTGTTGTTTTTTTTCCTTAAGCCTGTTGTCAATTTTCTTGTCTTGGTTCTATTTATGGTCATGAACAATTTCCCTGACTGACCCACTGAGATGCTTTTATTTTCTCAGTACAGACCAGTGATCTGCTTAGGAGCTCATCAAGTTGATGAACCTCCCATCTGTCAGGGGTTTTAGAGGCAGTTACCTAATAGAAAACAGGAGGGGACTTCTTTGGATAAAGATCCCATTCCTCCCACATCAGGATTCCCTACTTCCAAATTTTTACTGAAAGCCAGAAGGAACCAGTGTACTTGGCAAGAACCAGTGGATCTATGCCTGGGACTATGTAGGAGGATTGTATGGCAGAACTGCTGAATCCATTGGTAAGGGAAGGTCCTGTCTGATTTTGGACCAGAGTTCTCACTGCAGATTGGGTAAGTGTCTGCAAGGTTAGGGTTCTTGGATTTGCAAAATCGAAATGAAGTGCTGCATTTGGAGATGGTGGGTTTAACCTCACTCTTGGATTATTACTAGTTCAAGGAAGAAGAGAAAAATTCCAGTAGCTTTGGAATTCTGGGTTCCCTTGGAGTGGCTATATAGACTTCACATAAATGGCCCTAGAGCTCCCTAACTCCTAGCTTGAGACTGGATAGGGAAGAGGGAAACTGGTCTGCCCTCCCTCCTCCCTTGGGGTGGGCTGAAACACCTGCCCTCCAGGAAAACAGGAAGAAGCATTACCTTCCCCTTCTCTGGCTCTTCTTTGCCTCTCACTCACCCAGCAATAGCAGCTTGACAGTCTTTGCTTCCTTGTCAGCATCCTCCTGCAGCTTCTTTTCTAGCTCCTTGGACCTCTTGGCCAGTTCTTTGTCCTCAGTACTGGCTCCACTCCCCATCTCTGCTGTTCCCTCCTCAGCTATGTCCTTGGCTTCTAGGCTTCTCCTGTAAACTTTCCTATATGTGAGATGGAAGAAAAGGAAAAACTAAGTCCAGATGGAGTATCGATCTCTTGCTTCCTTAAAATTGATTTACATGTGGCTGGGTAACAGAGTGGGCTATAGGTTGTTGTACCCTGCCTCCCCTGGTTGAGACTCCCTACCCCAACTGGACACCTTCGTCTTAGTCTAGGGATTGTAGTCTTTATGTCTAGCAATGTGATGGGTCAAGCCAATTAAGAGCTTTGCCAATAAGCAAAGGGCAAAGACTCAATCAAACATTCTGTAATGAGAGAAGTGATTCAGATTCTGACACAGGAGGGAAGGGTACAGGTAGGTACTGGAGCTCTTTGGAATGAAATATGCCCACCTCCATCCTTTTGGGAATCTCGTCTCCTGAAAGCCACCTGTGCCCTTGGAATTACTTGCATTGTAGAGCTATAGGTTAGGGGCACAAATGTAGGAAGCATTCCTCATGCTGGGCCTCTAGATTACAAGGTCTTTGTTTCAAGGGCCTCAATAAATCAAAATATACTCTTGCATCAGAGCAGACTGGTTCTGGCAAAGAATTGTTGTTCGGGATTGAAAAGATTGAAAGATTAGGAAACTTTTATGCAGCTTTTCCAGTGGTTGTTGCTCCAAGAAGATACTACCATTGTTCTTTTGTGTGGGCCCATCTCTTGTGTTTCTGTTTTTAGCATTTAGCTCTTCCGTGTTTAAGGATCTGTTTGCCAGTGTGAATTCCTCCCCCTGAAGGTCAGTTACCTAAATCTGATTCATCTCTGAACCCCTCAGAACTGGTAGTTTATTAGTGCATTCTCATCCAAGAGTTGGTGAATGAATAAGTGAAAGGAAAAGGGTCCGTGATAGAGAGAATAGGACTGCTACCCACGACCCATCAAGGCTGCTTGATGCCCAACTTAACTTGGCAAGTGAACATTGCTGGTATTTAGAGAAGGGTTTGTGTTGCCTCACACAACAAACTCTGCTTCCTGTGGCAACTGGAGTCTTGACTTAGTCTTCTGAGGCTGGGGCAGCTCTCACTCTGGCCCTCATCCAGTTGCCTTAACCAGGGAGAAATGAGGGTGCAGTCACCTCACAGACATCGAAAAATTTCCACTGGTCATATTTCTCAATGTCGTTGTTTCATTTAAATGAGTCATGGGTGGAGCCTCCTCAGGCCAAGATTCTTTACAACTTTGCTACTCAAAATGTAGTGTAACGACCAACAATATTATGACCTAGAATTTTGTTAGAAAGGCACAGTTTGGGGCGGGCCTAAGTCCAGATCTTCCAATTCAGAGTGCATTTTAACAAGATCAAAAGTGACTTTAAGGGGCTGGGATTGTGGCTCAGTGGTAGAGTGCTCACCTTGTATGTGCAAGGCCCTGGGTTCGATCCTTAGCACCACATAAAAATAAGTAAATAAAGGTATGGTGTCCAATTACAACTAAAAAATAAATATATAAAAGAAGTGACTTTAAGGATATTAAGATTGGGAAGTACTGCCCCAGGGAATTGTTTTCCCCCCAAGCTTGCCTCATCCTGAGAATTCACGTGGCATGATTATTTCTGTTTCATGAAGTCTTACAGGCCACTGACTGGAAGATCACCTTGCTTTCAAAGATGTTTTAAAAGTACTCATAATTTAAAAGGGTACTTCTTAGAATCAGTAGGTGTCAGTAATTATGTTAATTCCAGAGCCTGAGAAACTGTATTTTAAGTTAATATAAATAATTTTTGTCATCTGGCAAGTTTGGAAAACCCTGGCCTACAACAGTTCTCAATTTGGGTGTACGTTGGCATTTACTGGAGAGCTTTTTAAAAAAACAAAACAAAAAAAAAAAAAACATTGATTTAATTGGTGTAGGGTACAGTCCAGGCATGAAAATTTAAAATTTTCCCCAGGTGATTCCCATGTGTAGCCAACCTGGAGAACCATTAAGAAGATTTAACTTGCTCTTCCCTTTTAGAGCTGGAAATGTGCAGCTGTGACCAGTGGGACAAGAAAGTGGGAGGTAGAACCTGGTTCTGCTCCCTACCAAACAACCTGAGCCCTGGCTGATCTCCTCCCCTCTGCCCTCTTTCAGCTGGCACCTGGGAGGTTGGTCTCTGGCAGCTGTCGAGTGGCTTTGGTGCAATAGTGTTTTCCCAGTTGAAAACCGGCAAGTGCTTATTGACTTAAGGGAAAACAGGACTCTGAAATTGTGACATCTTGGCATCTTGGTTATAAGGTTTCGATAATTATACCTCACCACCGTCCTGCCCTGCCTTACCCACAATATTGGTAACTTATACCTAGGCCAGAGCTGTGTTGAAGGCTGCACCTTTCAAAGCAAGGGACTTCTAGGAACTCTGCTAAACCATTTAGGTGGCTCATAGCAGTTAATTCTCATAACAACTTCAAGGTAAATGCTGTTTTCCCTAGTTTACAGACCAGACAACTGAGACTTGAGGGTTCCGTAACTTGTTCAAGGTTATATATCTCAACAGACAATCCAGTGATCTTCCTTGCCACTACCCACCCCTGCCCCTCAATAAGCAGCCATAAAGGCAAATTGGGAACCCAGGAACAGCAGCACTTGCATTGTAAGCGGAGCCACAAACTGGTTTCACACGTGAACAGATGCTTGAGTGTGTTCCTTTGTCAGCCTCCACTGCTGCAGACTTCTGTGTCCTGCTTTGTTAGCTTTCTCACTAGTTCTTAGGGAACTCTTGGCCCTTGCCTGGCCTGAGAGCATGGTGGGATCCACCACTGTGGCACCATACTATGCCAGGACATATTCCCCAGGGATCTCTTACCTCCAGTCACCAGCTCTGTGCCTTCCCTATGACTGTTCTGGTAAAATAGGGAAGGCAGGTAGTGCAATTCCCATTTTAGAGGTAAGAGAAGTGAAGCACAGGAAAGTCTCAATTTTAGTATTTCTCAAAATTCTCACTTTGCTGACAAAAGTCAGAGCTAGAGCTCAGGTGTTTGGTTCACATCCCTTTATTACCACATAATTTTGAGAGGAAGAGGAATCACTGTTTCTCAAAAAATTTGGGCATATTTCTGAGTTAAGGGGAGAGCTCAGGATCTGTCATTATCAGTAGTAAATCTTGTCCCAGAGACAGTGCAGGGATATGACACAGGAGGGAGATGCCTTTAGGACCTTCCAGTCCAAAAGAGGAGGAGGAGGAAATTCACAAATTAACAGTTTAATTAAAGGGACACTACTAATGCTGGGGAATTCAGAGTTGTTTAAAACCTAGCCTTCACCCTAGGAAAGGCAGTTATATACACATCTAACTGCTGGACTGGTAGGTTCTGTGGTAAAAGAAAGGAAGGGGTGATTGTAAAATAGACTCTCCCTAGAGAAGCAGAACAGCCATAAAAATGGGGATATGCATTTTGGGAGGGGAAAAACCATGAAAAAGGCATAGTGGCACATGAGGTATAAAATGTGCTCAGAGAAGATTGAAAAATTTGATGTGACTGTACTGGAGCAAAGAGTGCATGGAGGGTAGGTAGAGCTAGGAGATGAGGACAGGAAAGAGAAATCGGGGTCAGCCAGTGAAAGTCCTTGAATGACAGGTTAAGGGGTTTGGCTAAAATCCAGTGGGGACTTATAAACAAGTACAGATGGATACAGCTGCACGGTACTATAAACAGTGCTGTGTGACTGAGGTGACAAGGTAAGAGGAGGTGGCTGCTGGGAGAGGCTGAGAAACGAGCAAAATGGCTTGGTTATATAAGGATCTGGGCATAGGATGGGACTTAGGAAATTGTCCTGGCTAAGGATCTTTTTGAAAGTTCAGGTGTCCTCTTCTCCCAGATATAATGTCTGCTAGGAGTGGTGTGGCCTAGGGAGGCTGGCATAATTGGCAAGCCAGAAGGGAAGAGAAGCAGTTCTTCAGAGAAACAGGAGTGCATAGAAATTGGGGGCCCTCAAGGGCCTGGGTTCCAGGGGTGGGGGGCAATTAAAGAACCATAGTGGGAAGAGGCTGGGAGGGAAGTATCTGTTTAGAGGTAAGAAAGACCCCAAAGGCTCAAGATTAAGACCTCAATGTGAAAAGCAGAGGCTGTGGGAGGATCACTCCTTCCTTTCCCAAGCTGTTTTTTTTTTTTTTTTTTTTTTTTAAGACAATGAAAACCCACTGAGATTCTTTTTGATGTTGAGTAGGTGGGAGATTGATGCTTAGCTGTAACCAAGGCAGACTTCCTAGCAGCCACAGTACACCACCAGATGGCCAGGAGTACCAGGGATGGAGGGGAGGGTTATATAGAGAAGGGAGTATTGCACATGGGACCGCTGAATGCTCATAAAGGACTAATTAACTGGTTTGCCTAGGTTGGTTGGAGGGCAGGGATTGCCACCTATTGGCTAAATAGGTGGGTAGATCCAATGCTAGACAATTTTTTAAATGCAGATAGGTAAAAAGAAAAATATATATATATATATAACCCATAATTCCACCACTCACAGATAATAATTTTTTAACTTTTTGATGTTTCTTTTCTATGCATATACATCACTTAATTAGGACCATATCATATGTATATAGCTTTTTTGCATTAGTTTTTTTTCAATTTCATATTGTAAACATTTTCATATCATTAAAAAATTGTCCAAAAACAATTTTAATGGCTGTATTTCATTTTCTGCCTGACAATAATTTAAACATTTCCCTAGAGTTGGACCTTAAGTTTCCCAAATTTTAACTGTGTGATAAACATTGCAATGATGAACAACTTTGTGCATACATATTTTTCTGGCAGTGGTTTTTAGAAGAACAATTTCCTGAAGGTGGATTACTGAGTCAATTAGTAAGAACCTTTTTGAGACTCTTGATTAAATATTACTAAATGGCTTTTAGAGCAATTCAATGTTTATGGCCACCAGTTGTGTTTGTGTGTGTGTGTCCCCCATTTTATTCACCTTGCTTGCTCTGTTAGATATGTATTTGTTTGCTATTTTTGATAGGCAAACATTATCTTCTTCATAGATCCCCCCACCCCCTATGTGTACAGAAGTCTTTTTTTTTTTCAGTGCTGGTGATTGAACCCAGGTCTCTGAAAAGTGCTAGGCAAGAGCTCTGAGCTACACCTTTAGCTCAAGACCCACTTTTTTTTTTTTTAAGTTTGGGGTGAGGAGTAGATCAGGGGTCAGTGGGGTGGACACCAGAGGGTAGGTACAGAATAGGGTTCAGAGTCCAGAATCCAGGGTGGGGAGAGAAGAGAAAGCCAACTTTGGGAAGGAACTCTGTGGGGGAGGTGAGAACTGGGAGGAGCTGGACAAAGAGCTTAGAACAACTGGGTGTGGGGGCAAAGGGCTCCCACAAGGGAGAGAATAGGGAAGAGACTAATTGCTCATACACTAATTACATTCAATGAAGTTCCCTTTAGGTAGGATTCTCTTCCCACTCCCAAGGGGCAGAAAATCCTACCTAGTTGGATAGGGTGTCTGCAGTCCTGCAAAGAATCAAACTCCACTTCTTTATGGAATGCAAGATGAATCAATAGGATGTCAATAAGGATCCAAAGCCCCAAACCAAAGCAATGATAATACATGATCATAGTAGTAACTATAGGCTAGACACAGTTCTAAGCACTTAATTTATATTAACTCATTTATCTTAATCATCATATAAAGCAGGTATTCTTAAACTTACAATGAATGATGAAACATAAGCACAGAGAAGTAACTTGTTCAGTGTCATTCAGGAAGTAGGCGGAGGAATCGGAATTTGAACCCATTCATTCCTGCTTCAGACTTTAAGCTCATTAACTATCAAATATATAAATTAATGTCGGAAGGGAAGGTAGCATTGCAGGGCACACCCTGACTACCAATGCCTGCCAGAAAAAAAAAAAAAAAATAGACGACCCAGGTGAGAATGCGAAGAATGCAGAAACAGAACTTCTCAAAGTGAATCCCAGGTCGAAATAACTTCATTGGGCCTTGCCTATGTGCCAGGCATTGTGCAGAGGGGCTTCACAACATTCCTCACAATAACCCCTGTGAGTGAGGTACATTCATTACCTCCAGCCCATTTTACTGATGAGGAAGCTGACTCTTGGAACTTGCCAAGACCCAGGGGCCGGCCAGGCCAAATGTGGCGTGGACGCCCACGTGGCGGCCGGGAAGAGGAAAAATGGCGGGGGCGGGGCCGCCGGGCGTGGACGGAGGGGGCGGGGCCACGGACCTGGCGGGGCCTACGGCTGCCGAGGCTGGCGCAGCGCCGGCGGGGTGTCGGTGGAGTAGCACCTGTTGCGTGACTCCCCCACAGTCCAACCGTGGGAGTCGGATCCCGAATGTCCAGGGAGTGTTGAAAGAAGCCTAGACGAGTTCCGGGTACCGTTCTCTGGTGAGCACGTGGTCTGCCCGCTTCTGAGTGCAGGACTGGGGGTCGGGACTCCGGGGTCTCAGAGGCCAGTCCGGCTGCCGTCGTCGGCGGGGATCCGTTTCCAGCCAACTAGCAATTTTGAAAAACTGCCTTACTTCCCCCTTCTCAGGGCCCGGGTGGGGGCCCTTGGAGCAAGTTGGCTGGGTTTGGGCCCCATCCCCTCTCCTCTCCCTCACCACCCGGCCTTCCCTTCTGTGCAGACCCTCGTGGGAGACTCCCAGGTGCCCCGCGGGACTCTGCCAGCATGGCCTCAGGTAAGTGTATGCGCTTGTGTTGCGGGAGGGAGTCTGGGACAGAGAAGTGCTGTGGCCAGGGCGACAAGAGGGTGGGGGTCTCAGTGCATCACAGCCTACAGAACTCAGGGACGGCGACCAACTCCTTCTGGAAGGGCCTGGGGAAGCTGAGCCTGAATGTGCAAAGACTGAAGACCAGTCAGGAAGAGTCTGGGGTCTTTTCCCTGGATCCCAGACTTGCCCCTGCCTCTTGGCCTCCCTGCTTTCTTAGAAGGCCGTTTCTGCTGGACAGTGGAATTTTCCCAGGACAGGCCCCTCCCTTCTGGACTGGGATTCTCAGTTCTTCACTCTCCTCCCAGAGCTGGACTACCCCTGGAACTGGGGGTCGGGTGGAGAAGAAAAAGGGGAACTCTGTCCCAGAGGCACTGGGTTTTCTCCAGTACACTTGCGCTGCCCCTAGAGCAGTGTGCTCTGAGCTTGGAGGAGCTCAGGCTGGATTTCCTGTTTATTATTATTATTTTTTTCTGCCAGGCTGGCTGGACCAGATAGCCTGGACTTTGGCCCATTTGCTTTAGAGTCTGGGCAAAGGATGAGGGTTCCTGAGCCGGGTTAGTGCAGAGCTGGGGGCTGGCCCTGACACATCTTATTTTATCCACCGTAACACCCATCAGGCACAGCCACCATCAGTCACGTCACTGCGGGGACTGAGGAGGGAGGGGAGGAATAAGGGGCAGGGATGGAGGCCCCACTCGGCGAGGTTGCCTAGACAACATCGGCAATCGTGGCCAGGGCCTCTTCCGCCTGCGGGGTGCTGCTTCCTGCATCAGTCACTCCCGCTGGGGGCGGGGCGGAGGAAGGGGTTGGATGTGGCAGAGCCGGGGCCCAGCCGGTGCTGCTCAGACTCCTTCGTTGTCGCCTTGGCCCGAGCCATGGCATCGTATTCATCTGGCCCTGGCAAGTCCAAGGCCAAATATCCCTTTAAGAAGCGGGCCAGCCTGCAGTCCGCAGCTGCAGTTCCAGGTGAGTGTGTGCTTGTTTCTGGCCTCAGGCAACTGACTCTGCCCCAGCACCTTCTGCCCAGGTCACTGCCCCTCTCAGGAAGGGGCCCTTTTCCTGCACTCTTTCTGCAGTGGTGCCCCTTGATCTCGGTCCCAGAGATGTCTGGCTTGGGAGGTGGTGTGCAGAGAGAGACTGGGTGGGGATGACCGAGGTTTCTATGTCAGGGATGCTGTCCTCTGTAACAAGGAGTGGGTGTGGGTGTGGGTGCAGCAAGAGGTGTGTGTGCACACATGTCTGCTTGTGCAGATGCTAGGACTGCGTGTGAAGTGTGTGTGTGAATGGAGTGGGGGTGTGTGGGACTGACTGGTTTATGGACTGGCCACCCTGATTGGTGCTTGTGTCTTTCCCAGGCAGACTCAGGCTGTACTCCTGTGGCTGGTCTATCTTTCCAGGACCCCAGATCTAGGATTCCCTCCCTGGGGTTCTGACATCTGGGCACATCCATTGCTGGCCAGCATTCCAGAGCTCCAGGCTTGACTCTCTCTGCCTTCTGTTGTTTGCTTGTTCCTGGCCTGTGTTGTGAGCCTCCTTAGGAGAGTGCTGCCCTTGGGGCAGACCTATGTGCTTTGTACTTTGCATCCTTTGGTTTGGTTCTCATTCTCTGGGCACCTCTGCACTGTTTGGAGCCCGTAGTGTGATATGGTTGTGCTCATCTCAGTGAGGGCTCAACCTCCTGGGTGAGTGCTTACTGAGGACAGATTCCAGCAGGCAGGAACCTGCTGTCTGCTGCCTCTAGGCCTTGTGGCTAAGCAATGACCCCACTTTGGTGACCAGATCATACCAACCCTCCCAACCGCGGGCAGTAGTTCGTACCTATAGCCCAATTATAGGTATGGGGGTGGTACCAGGTGGCCAGAATCTTGGAGTTGATGGAGTAGCCCTCTCTGGTTTTGGTTGACTAACGTGTGAGTGTGGGTATGGATGTGTGACACTATCGTCAGGAGCCTCTGGCACAAGTCCCAGGAGGAGAGACAAGCAGGTGCTGTCTTCTTGGCCTGGCCTCAGAGACTGTCCCCTTCCAGTATTTTCTTGTGCTATTGAAGATGCCTGGTTTGAAGTTTGTAATGTCCTGAGGGTCTGTTTCTCTGTGCCATTCAGAAGGTATATGCCCTGAGGCTAGCTCTGTATATGCTACCTTTCTGTTGAACCAGGTGGTGGCCAGGTGGTGAGAGCATCTGATACTTGGGGCCCCAGCCTGCCAAGGCAGTGAGTGGGGGGCTCCTGGTTTAGGGGGGGTAACAGGTGGCCAGAATTTTGGAATTGGTGAAGTAGCCCTCTGATTTTGGTTGACTAACTTGTGAGTGTGGGTGTAGATGTGTGGCACTGTGGTCAGGAACCTCTGGCACAAGTCCCAGGAGAAGAGACCAGTAGGTGCTATCTTCTAGGGCTGGCCTCAGAGATCATGGAGGTTACTGCCTGTGTGTCACCTCTAGTGAACCCCAGGTGGCTCTGCAGTGGCCTGGCAGGCAAGGGTGGCACTGCCTGCTGGAACCTGTTCTGCACACCCCAGCGTTGCTGTGCAGTCCCCAGGTCACCCTGCTAGGAGAGAGGATAAGATTAGGACCTTTGACTCTACTCCTGCTGAACCAGCACAGACCAGCCCTGGAAGCCTATGATCTACTCTTCTTGAGGGGTTAGAAGTGTTCTGGGACCTTATCTGGGGAATAGTATATAGGCTCCAGGCTCTTGGGCAAGCAAAGACCTTACACCCTGAGGGTGGGGTAGGTGCCCATCTTTTCTTCTTCTTCCTACTGTGCCTTCTTCCAGGTAAGACATGGTGTCATACCATCTCTGCCCCTGTCAAGTTTTGCTTTCTTCACTGTGCTTCTTTGCTCAACTGCCTTGGTCTTGGCCTAGGACTTTATAGAAACATGTGCAGAGCATTTTCTCTGTGAGCCCTGGGGCTGTGGCTAGGCAGTGCAGGGGCCCCTTCTCATTGTTTACAGTCCACATTCAGAGAGAGAAGCCATGTCATATGTGAGTCCTCTAAATGCTAGTGCCCTTTCCCAAAGCTCTCCTCCTGGAGGGTTTGTCCTGATCCTGACAATTAGATGTAGAACAGGAGTTGGAGGTTTGGGGGCCATAAAGCCTCAGTATCTGGCTCCTACTCAGAGTGGGCCACTCCCCCAGCTGTTAGACAGCTCTTCTTCCCACAGAGACCTTTTTTTCCTCCTGAATGACCCCTTAGTCAGGGCCAAGAGGATAGTGGTGGGCAGAGGAAGCTGACCTGGGGTTGCTGGTTTCAGAGAGGAAGAGAGCTGCTGTCCCTTCTTTTCTTTCTTCCTACCCTTTGGCCAGCCAGCCCTTGCCTGCTTCTGTCCCCTAGGGCAGTGGTTTTAAGGAGGCTTAGCCCCTCCCTGCCGGCCTGCCCTGGCCGTGTCAGCCTGCCTTGCTTCTTCTCCCCCTTGGGAGCCCTACTTCTGGCTAGGCCACCCCAGTCCTTTAGAGTTTAAGCCTCCTACAGTTCTGGACTTTGTCTTATCTCCCAAATCTGATGTTCCTTCCCTGGGTTTCTGGGCCCACCCTGAGCTCCCCCAACTCTCTACTCTGGCCATCCAGGGTCTCCCCTGCTTGCAGCTGCACTTGGTACAGCCCGTGCCGGCCCCTGAGCTGTCCTGGGGGACTGGCTGCAGCTTCACTCGGCAAACAGGCGGGCAAGGGGCACAGGGCTGCTGGCTGGAGCAGCCTGAACTCTGCAGGTAGGGTTCAGGCAGAACCAAGGTGAGCAGGGGAGGTGGTCTTGGATCTGGGACAGTCACCTCTTTCTTCCCTTTGTCCAGCTTGGAATCAGACCTAGAGTACTGGGAAATGGGCACAGAAACCTTAAGGCATGCTACCTGGGCAGAGCCTTTAATCCCTCCCCAAGTTAGGATAGAGAGGAGAGAGAGGGTGCTGGAGGGGTACACCCTGCACAGCTGTCTGGGAGAGCCAAATTGTCTGTGAAGAGCTCCGTACTGGGGAGGCTGGGCTTCTGAGCCCAGGGAGGGTCCTTCCTGGTGGGCCGAGAGCTCAGTCAGTCCCATAAAGGAATAGCTCCAAGGCCCTTCAAGTCGTGTCCTTATGCACATGAAGAGTTTTGCTCTTACTGGAGAAAGACCCCTGGCCTTTGAGGCTCCCTTCCCCAGGGCTCTCCACGGGGCCTCCGGCCCAGATCCTGGGGCCTCTGAGTGGCGCAGACTGTTTGTGGCAGCTTCCTTTGGAGGGGCAGCCAGCAGTGGGAGGGGCAGGTTGGGGCCAAGCCACATCTTGGCAGCCCTGGGGTCCTGGGGAGAGGGCAGGCCTCCAGGGAGAAGCCAGGGTTCCCTGCCAACCAGGCCTTTCCCTTCCCTGAGGACTGGTTCCCTAGGTCAGAGCTGAGTGCCTGCTGTGGCCTCCCCTGTGCCCTGTAGGTCTGGGATTGCAGGGGGCCTCTGGCCCCTCTGAGTAGACGATCTGCTATTCCAAGGGCCGGTCTGATCCTGGATCAGCTGCTCTGGAAGCTGTGGGCTAGAATCCTGGGTGTAGCCAGCCACCTGGTCCTTACTGAGTGCCTGCTGTATGTCTCTCTGTGTGTGTCTCTGTAGTGTATACACATGTACACGTGTGTCTGCCTCTGGGGGATAACATGGTAGATTCTCATGACCCCAGGGAATGCGCCCTTATCTGGGCCTCAGGTGAATTGAATTAATCCACTTGTCCTGGGGCAGATGCAGGACCTCCACCCTGAGCCTGGGATGGTGAGGGGTCCTTCCTTGTACTGGGCTGTGGGTGAGGTCCTTCAGGAGCCACTCACAGGCACCTTCCTCAGCCTCTGTGGGGGGACTTTCCACGGTCCAGGCCCTGGATTCCCTCAGGGACTGGCCTGGGGCAAGCAGCAGCCCTTGGCTTCCAGGGCACCCAGGCCCTGCCCATCCCCACCCTTGACCCTGACATCACTGTCTCTGCAGAGGCTCGGGGTGGTCTGGGGGCCCCTCCGCTGCAGTCTGCCCGATCCCTGCCGGGCCCCGCCCCCTGCCTCAAGCACTTCCCGCTCGACCTGCGTACGTCTATGGATGGCAAATGCAAGGAGATTGCCGAGGTATCGCCTGGCACCCCCCTCCCCTCACCCCATGCCCTGCCTCTGTTCCCACACCCCTCTGTCTCAGCTGCCTCACCTCAAGCTTGGCTGTCCCTGATCCTCAGTCTCTCCCAGGAACCCCAGCTCCTGCTGCCCACACCCACGCCCAGATTCTGCAGGGGAGGGCTGGGGCTGAGGGCCCAAAGGAGAGGCCCCCTGCCTGACCTGTGTTGCCTCCCTCCTGCCAGGAGCTGTTCAGCCGCTCGCTGGCTGAGAGTGAGCTCCGAAGCGCCCCATATGAGTTCCCTGAGGAGAGCCCCATTGAGCAGCTGGAGGAGCGGCGGCAGCGGCTGGAGCGGCAGATCAGCCAGGATGTCAAGTGAGCCTGGCGCAGAGCCTGCCCAGTGCCCCTCTGGCTTCTTTCTTGTTCCATCCTCCCTTTGGGATCTACCTGGGAGCACAGGCTGTTAGGTTCTGGTTTTGTCTTCTGACCACTGGGGTGGCCTGGAATATGCTGTTTAACTTCAGGGTCTGCTTTCTTACCTCCAAGGTCGGGTGAGCACAGCATAGGGTCCTATAGTCTTGCCTGTGAGGATCACATGTGACAACCTCTGCATAGCACCTAGTGCAGTACTGGAGCCTGGGAGCCAGAGCCACCCTCCTATTCTTCTGACCTCTTTCTCCTCTTTCCTCTAGGCTGGAGCCAGACATCCTGCTTCGGGCCAAGCAAGATTTCCTGAAGACGGACAGTGACTCAGACCTACAGTGAGCAGGGCAGGGGTTCACACACAGGGGAGGTGGAGCTGGGGCCTGGCTGCACGAAGTGGGCTCCAGCCCCTCCCTTGTATGCCTCCCCCCTCCTGTAGGCTTTATAAGGAACAAGGTGAAGGCCAGGGGGACAGGGGCCTTCGGGAGCGTGATGTGCTGGAGAGGGAATTTCAACGGGTCACCATTTCCGGAGAGGAGAAGTGTGGGGTGAGTGTGGGGCGGGGTTTTGGATTTCCATCTCTTTCTGTCATGTCCTAGGGAGCTCCCAGGCTGGGGAATCTCCCAGTCTGGGGAGCTGAGGATAAGGCCTGCAGAAAGTGTTTCTCATTCCTAACAGCTGGCGGGACAGAGGGTCTGGCTGGGAGCTCCCTGATATGCTGGGACCAGAGTGGGCTACCTGTTCCTGGGTCTAGGCCTGCAGGAGGTGGGGATGTTGTGAGGTCTGGGGAAAGCCACAGGGAAGAGGTGCTCGTGAGTCTTGAGTCTGGGTCAGAGACTGAGGAGAGTGACTGCTTGTGTTCCCCCCCAGGTGCCATTCACAGACCTACTGGATGCAGCCAAGAGTGTGGTGCGGGCATTATTTATCCGGGAGAAGTACATGGCCCTGTCGCTGCAGAGCTTCTGCCCCACCACCCGCCGCTACTTGCAGCAGCTGGCAGAGAAGCCCCTGGAGACACGGACCTTTGAGCAGGGCCCTGACACCCCTGTGTCTGCTGGTGGGACTCTTATCCCTGATGTTCCCCAAGTGTCCTGGGCTCCTGCCTTGCCCATGTCTCCCCATACCCAGGATAATTCCAGCTTCTTGAACACCCAGAGGGTAGAAGTTAGAGCTGGAGCTGCACTCTAGGACCTTTTTTTTTAAATATTTTTTTAGTTGTCAATGGACCTTATTCATTTATTTATTTATTTATTTATTTATTTATTTATTTATTTATTTATTTATTTATTTGTACGTGGTGCTGAGAATTGAACCAGTGCCTCACACATGCTAGGCAAGCGCTCTACCACTGAGCCACCACCCCAGCCCTCCCTCTGGGATCTTTGATGGATGTCTCATTCCCTCTAGAGCTTCTGGGCTGGGTAGCAGCTGATCTGGAGGAACCCTGGTCCTAACTCCACCGTTTCCATCCTTACAGATGCCCCAGTGCACCCCCCTGCTCTGGAACAGCACCCATACGAGCACTGTGAGCCGAGCACCATGCCTGGGGACCTGGGCTTGGGTCTGCGTATGGTGCGTGGCGTGGTGCATATCTATACTCGCAGGGATCCTGATGAACAGTAAGATGGGTGTGGTGTGCTAGGGGTTGGGGGAGATGACATCTGGGAGGTGCATGGCTTCCTTTCCTTACCCAAGCTTCCCCACTTGCAGTTGCTCTGAGGTGGAGCTTCCATACCCAGACCTACAGGAATTTGTGGCTGATGTCAATGTGCTGATGGCTCTGATTATCAATGGCCCCATGTGAGTTCTTTCTGGTCACTCTGCTTGCTTCCTAGCCCAGATTCTCCAGCCCTAGCACTGCCCTGTTCTGTCCCATATCTGTTACCTGGGCTCTGGTCTCCCCACCCCACCCCAGTCACCAAGTCCTTGACCTTCCCTCAGTCTGCAGCCCTCTTGGCCGCCTCTGTCCTGGACCTTCCTGCCTCTTCTTGGGCTCTGCTGCCTGGGCTCTACCCAGGTTCCTCCCTCAGGGCCTGAGTCCCTGCCTTGCTGCCTTCCTACTGCCCAGAAAATCATTCTGCTATCGCCGGCTACAGTACCTGAGCTCCAAGTTCCAGATGCATGTACTGCTTAACGAAATGAAGGAACTGGCTGCTCAGAAGAAAGTGCCACACCGAGATTTCTACAACATCCGCAAGGTGGGTCTTCACCTGTGGCCCTCTTTGTGTCCTGACTGTGCACCTCTACCCAGCCTCCCTATCCAGGGCCTGGGATCCCCACTCAGCATCCAATATGGGGAGCCCTCTCCCATCTCACTGCGCTGGCCCTAGACCCTCTGGGCATTTGGTAGGCTCAGCAGTGCCCTGTTCCACTCTAGGTGGACACACACATCCATGCCTCGTCCTGCATGAACCAGAAACATCTGCTGCGCTTCATCAAGCGGGCAATGAAGCGGCACCTGGAGGAGATTGTGCATGTGGAGCAGGGCCGTGAGCAGACTCTGCGGGAAGTCTTCGAGAGCATGAATCTCACTGCCTATGACCTGAGTGTGGACACACTTGACGTGCACGCGGTCTGTCCCCATGCATGAGCTGGGGGGTTGGGTTAGTGCAGGAAGTGAGGGTCAGGGGTGACCTGGGCCTGCCTATCTCCCCCCAGGATAGAAACACCTTCCACCGCTTTGACAAGTTCAATGCCAAATACAACCCTATTGGGGAGTCTGTCCTCCGAGAGATCTTCATCAAGACCGACAACAGGGTTTCTGGGAAGTACTTTGCTCACATCATCAAGGTATGGAGGCAGCCTAACCTACTGAGCTGCAAGCCTGGGTATAGGTGGGGTGAGGGGACAAGGGACTTAAGAGGCCTGACTGAACATGCGTGGCAGGTGTGCAGAGGGTGGGAGAGGAGCCTGGGTGTGGCAGCTATTCTGCACATGTCTAGGAGGTGATGTCCGACCTGGAGGAAAGCAAATACCAGAATGCAGAGTTGCGGCTATCCATTTACGGGCGCTCGAGGGATGAGTGGGACAAGTTGGCACGCTGGGCCGTGACTCACCGAGTGCATTCTCCTAATGTGCGCTGGCTCGTGCAGGTGCCCCGCCTCTTGTGAGTGTCCCTTGAAATGGGAGGAAATACCAGGGCTGTATTCAAGGGGGCCAGTCCTGCCTCCTGTCCTCCTGGGACTGGAAACCTCTCCTTGCCCAGCTGAGCCCTCCAAGTACAAGGAGAGGCCTCCCCGGCCCATCCACAGTCTATCCAACCTGACCACCCTGGCATCCCCACTTTCCCAGTGTAGTTCACACATGCTTCTGTGTTCTTGGGCCAGGTCTGACCCTTACCTTCTTTCTGGGTTAACTCCTATTGGCTCTGACCGATTGTCTCACCTACAGTGATGTGTACCGCACCAAGGGCCAGCTGGCCAACTTCCAGGAGATGCTGGAGAACATCTTCTTGCCATTGTTTGAGGCTACTGTGCACCCTGCCAGCCACCCGGAGCTGCACCTTTTTCTGGAGCATGTGAGGGAAGGGTGGCAGGGGCTGGGTGTGGGCAGGACAGCCAGGCTCAGGCCCAGCCACCAGCTTTGGGATTGACCACGAATTCCTATACCAGGTGGATGGTTTTGACAGCGTGGATGATGAATCCAAGCCTGAGAACCATGTCTTCAATCTGGAGAGCCCCCTCCCTGAGGCTTGGGTGGAGGAAGACAACCCACCCTATGCATACTACCTGTACTACACCTTCGCCAACATGGCCATGTTGAACCACCTGCGCAGGTACCTGTGCCACCCAGTGCTGATCCTCTGCTAGAGGTCACGTGTGTGCCGAGGTGGGGCTGTGGAGCTGACCCTGTCTTCATGCCCCCCCAGGCAGAGGGGTTTCCACACGTTCGTGCTGAGGCCACACTGTGGGGAGGCTGGGCCCATCCACCACCTGGTATCAGCCTTCATGCTGGCGGAAAACATCTCCCATGGGCTGCTTCTACGCAAGGTCAGGGTCTACACCCCAGGCTCCTCTCACAGTTGTTTACCTTCCTTTGAACCTTTGGACTCTTTCAGCAACTGGTCCTCCTCACCCTGACCCACAATCGGATCCCTCCTTCCCACTGTAACTAATGTTCTCTACCCTAGACTAGGCCCTTCCAGGCTAGGCCCCTACTTGGGTTCTGGCTATAACTTGAATTCTCAAATCAGGTCTAACCTGGACCCATCCTCCAACATGCACTACCTGCTACTGTGGCCCAGACCCCCCCATCCCCCAACCAAGCATTCTCTTCTCTGCTTCAAAGCCATCTAAATGGTCCTCCCTCTTTTGTGTCTGCCCAGGCCCCAGTCCTGCAGTACCTGTATTACCTGGCCCAGATTGGCATTGCTATGTCCCCGCTCAGCAACAATAGCCTCTTCCTCAGCTACCATCGGAACCCACTACCTGAGTACTTGTCCCGTGGCCTCATGGTGTCGCTTTCTACTGATGATCCTCTACAGTTTCACTTCACCAAGGTCAGAGATCAGCAGGCAACTTGGGACACTAGGGTATCTGGGTTGGTGCTGCCTCCTGCTGGGGTCATGCTACAGCCTAAGTGGAAGTTCTACAGGATAGGATGGGAGCAGGGAGGGGCTGCAGGGCCAGGTGCACCTATCTGAGGAATCCTGGCCTATGCAGGAGCCGTTGATGGAGGAATACAGCATTGCCACTCAAGTGTGGAAGCTCAGCTCCTGTGACATGTGTGAGCTGGCCCGCAACAGTGTGCTCATGAGTGGATTCTCACACAAGGTACTAATACCTGCCTACCTGGGCCTTGACTCTGCCTTTCTCTTCCCTTCCTCCGCATTTGGGGTCCTGACCTTGTCCCTGGGATGATTGGGAGTAGGCTGCAGCCCTGCCCATTACTCACATGTCCTGCAGGTAAAGAGCCACTGGCTGGGACCCAACTATACCAAGGAGGGCCCTGAGGGCAATGACATCCGCCGCACCAATGTGCCAGACATACGTGTGGGCTACCGTCATGAGACTCTGTGCCAGGAGCTGGCACTTATTACACAGGCCGTCCAGAGTGAGATGCTGGAGACCATCCCGGAGGAGGCGGGTGTTGCCACAAGTCCAGGGCCTCAGTGAGCCTGGCCCTTGTGGTGCCCACCCCATCTCAGCACCTTGACCATGTGTTGTTTTCAGACCCCTCCCATCCTGTTGTACTCTGCATGTCTCCATCCTTCTTTGTTTCTGTTCTGCATGTCTCTGACCATGTGCTGTCCCTGGGCCATCTCAGTGAACATGATGCTCAGGAATTTGCTTTACTGTTGTTTGACTCAGGTGGTACCCGATGGCCAAGATTTAAGGGCTGGCCCCACTGGTGGCCCTGTCCTAGGATCCTCAGAAACCTGGCTGTCCTTTGGGTACCTCTAAGTGTCCACAGGGACTTGGAAGGGTTGGCCCCTTTAGCTAACCAAGGTTGAACCAATCAACCAAGGCAAGAGGAGCTGGCCCCTTTTGCCCCTGGGGGCCTGCCTGGGCAAATCCGAGCTTTGGCTAAAGTTGTAGTCCCCTGTCCTGTTATGTGACTGAGGGGCCGTTGAGAGGGCCCTGTACACTCTGCTGTAGGCACAGGTTCCTGAGGCCCTGTGAAACTCCAGCAGCCATGTCCTAGGCAGAGGTGGGCTTGAGCTCGCTCAGAGCCTGGACTGCCTGGCCTGAGGTGATTGGACTTGGGCCTTGGAGGTGCTGGACCACTGCCTCTGCCAAGTCACTGCCCAGCAGCCTTTTCCGTTTGTTCCCTGATCCATGTGCTTCTCTGGTGTTAGCTTCCTATGCCTCTGTGGGAGGGGGTAACTGCCCTATGCTGTGTCTGGGGCCACTGCAGCTGGAGGGTGCTGGATCTGCCACTAGCCCTGGGGGTGTATCCGTTTTGTAATCCCCAGATCTTTGACCAGCCCAGGATCCCAGCTGGCCCCCTATGTTATGTTCTGGACCGAGGCCTTTGCTGTGAAAAGCAGTGTTTCATATGACCCATCTTTCCTAGTGCATGAGAAATAAAGGTTATTTAAGTAACAAGGCAGGAGGAGTCTCTGTTGGGAGAGGGAGAGCTGTTGGGGGTGCTGTGGTTGGGTGCCAGGGACATGGAGGGCCAGCACATTCTGATGGGAGTGGCTTGTACACTTGGACATGGACAGAGGGAGCTATAGGACAGAAGAGATGCCCAGTGGGCCTTCATCCAACTTGCCTCCTCTGAGTCTGGCCCCAGGTCTGGGGCACATTCGTGTCACACCAGTTTGAAAGATGATGGCCCTTCCTACCTTTTATTTCGTGTGCATTTGCAGCCCGGTTGATGTGAGCATACACCCTTACAAGCCACCTGAGATCAGGACTTCTGAGACATCAGGATCTGGGGAGGTTGTTTAAAATGCCCTTTCTAGGTCCCACCTTTAGAGATCCTGATTCAGAGGTGGAAGTTGTGGTGCAGATACCAGCAATGCCCCCACAGATTCAGGGCTTCAAACCCAGCCTTAAGCAATTCTGCTTGTGTCTTGCGCCCACTGCACTGTTTTCAGAGCACCTCCTTGGCATGGAGGCTGCTGGAGCCTTTTGTCTGTATGAGGAAGGGAATTGTAATGTGCCCTGGGCTGTGCAGGGCCCTGGGTGGGCAACAGGGAGGCCTGTCATGGTTGCTGCTTGGCAGGGAAGGAACTGGGGGCTGGCTGCCTCAGAAACAATCAGCCCTAAAATAGCTCGAGGCTATAATTGAGGGTCTGGATGCTGGAGGCTGTGGGCCTCTCCTCCCCTCTGTCAGTGGTTCTGCCCCTTCTGGCCTCTCTTGGCAGGCGATGAGTGCTTGTGCACCTGGCCCCAGCCTCCCCAGCAGGTGCCCTGGGCACCCTGGGCAGAGCTCTCCTGATCCTCCTGCCTCCCAAAGGCTGCCAGCCAGGCCTCTGGTGAGGACCCAGGGCCCCTGTATATAGAGGCACTTGCATACTAAATGTTGGCCCTGGGGGATAAGTGGAAGGCTCTACAACTCTGGCTGGATTCTGGCTGGAGAAACAGGCTCAGGAGGTGAAAATGGCCAGTGGTAGAACCTAAACTGGAGCTTGGGGATTAGGGCTCTCTTCCACCCAACCCTGGGCCTTCCCTACCTCCCAAACAATACTTTCCAAGGGTAATGGGAGCTGACTTTTCAAGGATATATTTAATATAAATAACCTGTATCTTAGCTTTGTAAAACAGGCAAGCAGGATTAAAAGGGAGGGTGTGTGTGTGTGTATGTGTGTGTGTGTGTGTGTATGTGTTTGGGTATTGAGGATCAAACCCAGGATATCGCGCATCCTAAGCAAGTACTCTATCACTAAATTGTATCCTCAACACTTCTAAATTTTTATTTTGAGACAGGGAGTCTTGTTCAGTTGCCTGGGCTAGCCTCTACCTTGAGATCCTCCTGCCTCAGCCTCCTGAATAGCTGGGATTACAGGTGTGCACCACTGTGGCCAATCCAGAAGAGCTTTCTAGATTAGGACTAGGACTTATTCTAGAACTTTTTGAAGTTCTTAAAGGCCAGGACTTCCTGTCCCCTGCCAACATTTAGGACTTTTCCACCAGTGAGAACTCCCTATTATCATTGAATTTGTCATTTAAATCAATCCTTTGATCCCCTTTCTTGTCCCTTGTTTTTGTCAGTGTGTGCTCAGGGCTAGCCTTAAGAATATTACAAAATTCAAAGAGTTTCTTAGCAATCTCTCCACAATTTTTTTTCTTTTCTTTTCTTTTTTTTTTTTTTAAATATTTTTTAGTTGTCAATGGACTTATATTTATTTCTATGTGGTGCTGAGAATTGAACCCAGTGCCTCACACGTGCTAGGCAAGCGCTCTATCACTGAGACACAACCCTAGCCCTCCAATTTTTTTCTTTTTAAAATCATTATTAAAACATTGTACAAATCAATCGGTTTCACCGTGACCTTTTCTTACATACATTTTATGCCTTAATCACATCCATTTTCCCTTCTGCTCTCTCTTCACCCCCACTCCATCCTCTTCCCCTGAAAGTCCTTCTTTTGCCTTCAGAGTGTCTTGTTTACTTTCTTAGTTTTCACCTATGAGAAGTAATATGTGATGCTTGCCTTTGAGTTTGGCTTTTTGCTTTACATGATGTCCTCCAGTTTTATCCATTTACCTGCAAATTACATGGTTTCATTCTTCTTTATGGGTGAATAATGCTTTGTTCTGTATATATACCATATTTTCTTTTTTAAAAATTTTTAGTTATAGATAGACACAATACCTTTAATTAATTAATCGATTGATTTTTATGTGGTGCTGAGGATCAAACCCAGTGCCTCACATGTGCTAGGCAAGAGCTCTACCACTTAGCCACAATCCCAGCCCTACACCATATTTATCCATTTATCTGTTGACAGGTACCTAGAATCAGTCTTGATTGTTCTGGATAGTGCCACAGTAAACATGGGTTTGCAGCTAATCTCTTTTGTATGCTGACTTCATTTTCTTCAGGTATCTAACCAGGAGTGGGATAGCTAGATTTTGTGATAGTTCTATTTTTGTTTTTTGGGGAATCTTCATACTGTTTTTCATAATGTCTATACTATTTACATTCCCATCAAAAGTGTATAAGGGTTCCTTTTTTCCACAGCCTTGTCCAAATTTATTGTTATTATTTTTTTCTGTTAGCCATTCTGACTGGGGTGAGATGGACTCTCAAAGAAATTTTGATTGTCATTCCTTGATGGCTAAAGATAGTAAGCATTTTATCATATCAGCCATTTGTATTTCTTTTGATAAATGTCTACTGAGATTATTTGCCCGTTTTTCGTTTTGATTACTTGTTCTTTGTTCAGTAAGTTTTTTGAGTTCTTTATGTATCTAGATATTCAACCCTGTGTCAGATGAATGGCTGGCAAAGAGGATTTCCCATTCTGCAGGTTGTCTCTCAGCTCTGCTGATTGTTTCCTGTGTTGTGCAGAAGCTTTTTAATTTGATGTGATCCCATTTGTCAGTTCTTGTTTTTGTTTCCTGGTCTATTGGAGTCTCTTCAGCCAGCTTAGAGTGTTTCCTCTATGTTTTCTTCTAGTACTTTCAGTGTTTCAGGTCTTATGTTTCAGTCTCTGTTTTATTTTGAGTTGATTTTTGTAGGGGGTAAGAGACAGGAGTCTATGTTCAGTCTTGTTCATATAGCACTTCTTGTTTAGGAGGCTGCTGTTTCTCCCATTTGTGTTTTAGCTCTTTTTTTGAACAATCAGTTGTCTGTAGCTGCATGGGTTTATTTCTGTGTCCTCTCTTTGGTTCCATTGGTCTGCAGGCCTGTTTTTTATGCCAGTCCCATGCTGTTTTGATTACTGTGGCTCTGTGGTGTGTTTTGACACTGGGTATTGTGATGTCCCAGCATTGCTGTTTTTGGTCAGGATTGCTTTGGTTATTTGGAGTCCTTTGTGTTTTAATTTTAGAATTTTTTCCCCAGTTCTGTGAAGAACATCATTGGTATTTTGATGGGGACTATATTGAATCCATAGATCACTTTGGGTAGTATCTCTGTTTTGACAATATTAATTCTCTCAATCCAAAAATATGGGAAGTCTCTTCATCTTCTAGTGTCTTCTTCAGCTTCTTTCTTTAGTGTTTTGTAAATATCACTTTGTAATTTTTATCTTCTTAGGTTTATTCCTAAATATATAATTTTTTGAGGCTATAGAGAATGACATTGATTTCCTGATTTCTTTCTCAGTTCACCATTGGTGTATAGAAAAATCTCCTGATTTTTATATGTTGATTTTTGTATCCTACTATTTTGCTGAATTTGTTTATCAATTCTCAGAGTCTTTTAGTGGAATCTTTAGGGTTTTCTAAGTATAGAATCATACCAGCAAACAGGGATAATCTGACTTCTTCCTTTCCTTTTGTATCCCTTTTCTTTCTTTCTTTTGTTTGATTGTTCTGGCTAAAATTTCTAGTACTATATTGAATAAGAATGGTGAGAGTGGATACCTTGTATTGTTCCTGTTCTTAGAGAAAATGCTTTCAGTTTTTCTTCATTCAGTATGATGTTGGCTATGGATTTATCATACATAGCCTTTATTATGTTGAGGTACAAGCCTTCTATACCTTATTTATTCAGGACTTCAAATATGAATGGATGTTCAATTTTATCAAAGGCTCTTTCTGCATCTACTGATATGATCATGTGATTTTTATCCTTAATTCTATCTATGCTCTGTATTATGTTTATTGATTTGTGCGTATCGAGCCATACTTACATCCATGGAATGAAACCAACTTGATCATGGTGTGTGATCTCTTTAGTGTGCAATTGGATTTGATTTGCAAGTACTTTGTTAATCAGGGATATTGGCCTATAATTTCCTTTTTTTCTGTTGTATCCTCATCAAGTTTCGGAAGCAGGATAATATTGGCTTTATAGAATGAGTTTGGAAGGTTACCCTTTCTTTATATTTTACAGAATATTTTGAGAGGCATTTGTGTGTTAATTCTTTTTATGAATCTGGTAAAATTCAGCAGTGGATGCATCCAGACCTGGGCTTTTCTTTGTTGAGAGACTTTTTGTGTTTTTTGTTATTGTTTTGGTATTTGTAATTGAACTCGGGGGCACTTTACCACTGAACATCTCCAGCCACCCCCGCTGGCCCCCCTTTTTTGGGAGGGGTACCAGGGATTGAACTCAGGGGCACTTGATCCCTGAGCTACATCCCCAGCCCTATTTTGTATTTTATCTAGAGGCAGGGTCTCACTGATTTGCTTAGTACCTTGCTTTTGCTGAGGTTGGCTTTGATCTCATGATCCTCCTGCCTCAGCCTCTGGAGCTGCTGGGATTACAGGTGTGTGCCACCATGTCCAGCCCCATCCCTTTTTATTTTTTGAGACAAGGATCTCTCTACATTGTTGAGATTGGCTTCTAACTTGTGATCCTTCTGCCTCAGCCTCCCAAGAGCCTAGGATTACAGGCGTGTGCCCTTTTCAATCTTAGGAGAGTTATTACTACTTCAATCTTATTACTTGGGATTTGTCTATTTAGGTTTTTTTATAC